AATGTTGTATTGTATCGTGCAATATTTTTGGCATATTTGTAATATTGTCTGTTATTGGATAGTAAATGAAATTTGGGTGTGTTTTAATATGGCATGTCTGTGAGTATGTAATTGTATTGGAAATAGGGTTCTTCCATGGAACAACATTTTCTGTTTCAAACAAATTGATTTTTAATTCATGTTGATTTTAAATCTCTCACTTCTGATCTTTTTTTCTGTATTGAACTTGAACAACAATCAGATAAAATTAGCTAACATGTATAAAGGGACAGAACTCCACAACACCTTTGAAAATAAACAAAATGGCTTCCTAAAAAAAAGCATTAATAGATAATCAGGTTCTTTATTTCCTCATGGAATGATTTTTTTTTCAGTAATGTGCTAAATATTCAGCAAGATAAAAGAAACAGTAGGTGAGAGGTAGAGCTGTTCAACCATCTGGACTTTTTGGTTGTACCTTATATGTATATAAAATATATATTTGTGAGGGAGATGATAAGAGTTGTTATATTATGATTATCATATCAAAATGTACACAAAGATTTTGATAAATGTGTTAAAGAGTTGAATTCTTTCACACTTTAGTTTCCTTTAATACTGCTGTTTTTTTTGTTTTATTTCTTTTGTACTTACAAATGTTGCCATAGTTTTCTTTCTATATTATAACCATTGCCTGCTCCTTAGCAAAAATAAAGATGCCATTTTTTTTTCTTTTTATTTCCAGGCCTACTGATGATTATATAATAGTTTATTTTATTCTAACTGATTTCTTATCAAGATTTCACTCTCGCCTTCATTTTATTTATATTTTATCTGAAACATAACAGCTGAAAGTTTCAGAATGGGTGTAAATTTGTGGTATTGTAATTTGTAATGGTAATATTAGAAATCTGCACATGGATCAACAAAGCCACTGCAGTGATAGCCAGAGTGGAAAAGATATAGAAGAGCAACATCAGCTTCCATACCAAGTTCAAGCTCTACAAATCACTGGTTGTATCCATCCTCCTTCTCCATAGGTGTGAGACTTGGATTTTCCTGTTTGAGTCAGGAAAAAGGATCCAGGTATTTGAGAACAAATGCTTGAGAATGCTCCTCTGCATCTCCTCTGCACAAAACCAATGTCTATGTATGGAGCAAGGTCAGAAGTCTCTTGAGTCAACAGGCGTCTCTCCTCTCCACTATTAAGTGTCAGAAGATGTCATGGTTTGGCCAGGTCACATGGCATAACAGCTTCTGCAAGACCATCATGCAATGGACTGTTGAAGGCAGATACAAGTGGGGACAGCAATACAAAAGCTGGTCAGACAACATCAATGAGTGGACGGACATGGAAATGCTGGAACTCCTGTGATCCACCGCCAACAGATCATCCTAAGGGTAGAAGAAACAGACAACCTCCTCCAGAAGGTTGTCTATTTCTTCTATTCTTAGCAGAACAATTGAAGCAGTCAAGGGACTGATGATGATGATTAGCTATTTCACTATAAGGAAACATTTGGTATTCATTGAAACTTATAAAATCTTTTCCCCTAAAAATTTTTTAGGAAAATAGATTTCTCAAGTCCAGTTGCTATTATCACTCTTTCCAATATTGATGAGAGTTTCCTTCCTAACATTTTATTTAAAGTATGGTGAAATATCTGCATCTTGATGATGTCATTATTTTCTCTTTGAATTACATGTGCTATCCATTTTAGTTGTTGATGCTGTTGGTAGTCCTCAAGTGATTATTTGTTGCAGTTCTTTGTGAATCTGTATTGCCAGTCCACAATGTTCAAAGAAGGATGATTTTTCCCCAAAAAAATCAGGCTTCACTCATTCAAAGCTTTTTTTCACCATTGATCTTAATTTTTATTTGTTGATCTCACACATTAATTTTAACATGTTAATCGATAGATTTAATCAAATTTTCTGTTTACTCATTCAATTTGTTTTAAACAACATTTATTTGTATATTATTTTCGTTTTAACATGCTGCATAAATCATAATTTTTTTTTTTTTTTTAATTGTAAAAAACAACGTAAATTTCTAATTATTTTAAGGTTGAGATGAAACTGGAAAAAAGGAAAAAAGCAAAAAAAAAAATGGAAAACACATAATTACCTTCCGAGTATCTGATGAGTATTCACAAAAGAAAAAAAAAGAAAAAGTAAAAAATCCCCCATAAACAACTTAAATAGAGCTCACACCATTGCAATTGGCTGTTGATCAACTTCCAATCAAATGACACAGGGCTATGGTTTGCCTATAATATAAGTCAGTGTCTTCAGGCTGTCAATTTAGAGGCGGGGTTGGATCAGAGACTGATCAGCTCTGATGGGGTCGATTTGGTGAGGGGAGTATGATGTTTGAAAGACCTGAAACTGCCCAATGACCCAATTCAGAATATCACTGACGGCGTCCTCTAGCACTAAAGAGCGTATATTCAAAGTTAGAAAATGGTTGTATACAGCTGATAGTTTAAATATTTCTGAATGTGATTGACGCTATGCACGGCACCCATATGAATGTCGCGATCTGCTGAGCTTTTTAAGAAATTTACTTGAGTTTTCAGGTTGATTTTTTTGGTTTTGTAACAATTTATGGTGTTGGATGTTTGATTAAAACCTCAAACTTACATAATGTTGATTTGGTAGGTGCACATGGCTGAGTGGTTAGGATGTTCATTAGACATGGATTTAAATTTCACTGTGGCTGATTTATCAGGGAGGTAACTTTCTTGATGTTATTGGCCTGTTGAGTGATTCCATTGTGCAGTACCATTGGAAAGGATCTGAAAACCATAACACTGGTTGACCCAAGCTTTATAAGTGAAATTGGGTAGATGGAACAATTTTAAAGTCGTCAATGTTTATTCTATCAAGAAGTCACAAGTCTTTGGGACTGAGAGTTTTGCTGGTCTTGTTCAGTGGCTGATCATGTCAGATTATATGCTCATTCCCAGAAACTGCAACTAAGGCCACAAGGTTGCAGTATAAACCACAGGTGGGCTCTGTGGGTGTTGAGCAGAGACAACTGTGTCTGATCAAGCATCTAACAGGGATTTGCTAGTGTCCTGAGCAGATGTGTGTGTATAAACATCCTTGTCCTGGGTAAGGCAATAAACTATGTCCAACAGCAAGGCCTCTGATCAGATTTTGAGGAGCATAGAACCACCTCTTAATTGCTGGTGTTCCCAGGTCCACCCTGACCCTGGGTGGTAGCACCTGTTAGGGTGCCAGCTATGAGCAAATAGTTAACCCCCAAACTGGCGTTAAAACACTATGAAAATATAAAAATAGGTTTTAATACCTGAAATACTTTGTAAAAACTTATTACCAGTAATACATTTTTGAAAACAAGAGATATTACCAGCAATACATTTTTGAAAAAAAAAATTACCTCCTATACATTTTTTGAAAAAAATATTACCAGCAATAAAAATGCTGTCAGCCATTGACGCTGATATGTCATAAAACAAACCAAACCAAACCAAACCAGATGTGTGTGCTTGGAAATGAGCCAGCTATTATTATACACATATAATGACTTTTATTTATTAGACATTAAATTACATCACCTTGCATCCTTCATAATTTCAGTTAGTCTGATGTATATTTATGAGAGTTCTTTTCCAAGCCAACATGCCGATTATAAAAATGTAAAAAAAAAAAAGAAAATGGTAAAATTCATAACCTTCTCTTATTTAAAATATATGATACATAAATTAATCCCAAACTAAAATAGTATAAATATTATAAAAGGATGAGCCCAAAATGAAAATTACAAATTCAAAATACCAAAATCAAACAAGTAAAAAAAGTGTTTGAAGTGTTTTAACAGAGCATGGAAAGTGTGACTTTGAAATCCAGAGGTGCATTGGAATAGTGAAGATGCCTTCCAGAAACTAAGCAGAGTACTAAGAAACAGGAAAACTTTGTTAGAAACAAAGAAATGAGTACTGAACTGAATATATATATATATATATATATATACATACATATATATATATATACATACATATACATATATATATATATATATATATATATATATATATATATATATATATATATATATATATACCTAAGTATAGGATTGGTATATATGGAATAAATTCTAATAACCAACAAATACTATTTTTAAAATAGTGCTCAATACAGAGTAGAGCAAATATAATCATTTATTCGAAAATTATAACATAAAATGCTTTGTTTATTTATTAAATAGTATATTTATTATCATCTACCAGCCTTGAATATTCAAGAAATCTTATTAGAAAAATATGTTCTCTGGTAGGATTTGTTATGATGGGCCTTGCTTCCTGTTTTTGGTTAGTAAAATATAGCATATATTCATCAGAACAACAAAGTGAAACATTTATAATATATAAATGGATCTTGGGACACAGCCACTGGAATATTTGCTGACGCTTTTCACCATTGTCTTTTGTCTCTTTGCTGGGTGTCAGAATTAAAAATTATTCATGAGTCAGCACAAGCAGTTGTCTGACCTTTGACTACAATGTTTTTTTGTGTTTTTAATTATTAGCATAATCATAGAAACAAAACATAAAATTATTTTTCTGTTGTTCTATCGACATTAATTCTGAAACATCTAAAGAAAGAATGTGAATTGTTTTAAACTACATAAAACATTAAAAACATAACAGACAATTGAACACAATTCATGATATCTTTTGTCTATGTCATCACAAGTAACAATATACTTGAAGAAAGAGATTAAAGAAAACAAAAGTTCAGGTTGGCATGAGGCTAGACATTAATTCAATTTCTTTTTTTTTTTCAAGTAAATGGACTCACAATCGAGTCCAGCATATTTTGCCATTACAAAATTTTGAACTTGTATTAAAGCAAGTTCTCATTAAGTTAACACAAATGCTAATGGGATATATATATATATATATATATATATATATATATCAGGTTTTGTTCTGATGAGATAAACATTTTCGTGGTCATGAGATAAAAATTAAAAACAAAATGGATAATTAAAGTCTCTATCTTCTTATCTATCTATCTATCTATCTATCTATCTATCTATCTATCTATCTGTATATGAAGAAATATAGTCTTAAGATGTGCTATATTTATGGGATAAAGTGCTCAATATCAGCGATAGAGTGTTTGTAAATATAAAAGTGAACATAAAGTCAACACTTAGAGGCAACAGTCTGATTCATGCTAGATGCAATCGTCAGGCCTGACGATTGAGTCTAGCATGAAACAGAAAATCGCCCTAAGTGTTGACTTCTATGTTCACTTTATATATATATATATATATATATATGTGTGTGTGTGTGTGTGTATATATATATAATATCATTTATTTGAAAATTATAACATAAAAATGTTATAAAATCACTACAAAAATAGCCATTTTGTTTCAACACTTCTGGTCTCTTTTCAAGTGAAACAAAATGGCTATTTTTGTAGTGATTTTATAACATTTTTATGTTATAATTTTTTGAATAAATGATATTTATATATATATATATATATATATATGTATAAATATGGTGTCTTCTCAAGTGATGGTGTTGAATGTTCAACACCATCACTTGAGAAGACACCAGAAGTGTTGAAACAAAATGGCTATTTTTTGTAGTGATTTTATAACATTTAACCTACCATTTGATCTTGGACTGCAGAACTTATTTATAAGCTTCAAACAAGTTCCAGTTACCAAATTAATTACATGTGATAAGAAGAAACAGAATCAAGACACCAATTCCATAGAATAAAACAGTTGGGAAATGAGAAAAGTACTAACAGATTGTCTTTGAATCAGACTTTTTAGTGTTCTGAGAGCAAAAATTAAGCTTTACTGTTTAGTTTTGATTATTCTAATTTTGTTATTCATAGTTTCTTGAGAACAAATCCCATTTCAAATAAAATACCAATTGGGGCACCTCCTCTGATCCTCTAACAGTTCAGTTTTGTTCATTGTTCGTATCAGATCTTTTTTACAGCAAAAATCACATTGAAACACCAGTTCTCATATGATCACCAAAGTTAAGCATCATTGAGCCTGGTCAGTATCTAGATGAGTAACCACTTGGGGATACCAGGTGCTGTAAGCTTGGGTGTGAGGGTTGTTTAATGGAAATTGGAGTTCCAATTTCAAACAGGTTTGTTATATTCACTTACATGCAGATACCCCTTGAGAAAAAGGCATGAATCCATCTCTTCTGCCCCCCCCCCCATCTATGAGTTAATTAGTAGGATTTTTATCAGAAAACAATATATTTTCAACTATTTGAAAATACTGAAACTGTCAACATAATGTTCTTCTTTAAAGAAATAGAAACATGTAACACCTAAAATAGGCAAAATAATCATTTACCCTGAAAGTTTAAAATGATGTACAAAATAGCTGTAGTCATAAAAAAAAAATATAATAGAAAATATTTAGATTTTGGCATTAAATAAGCCATTGTTACAAGATGAGATCTTGCCCTGCTTCGATAAACGGAAGTTACCACCACGAGTCGCCGACTCGAAATGAAAACTGCATGTCTACGCATAGGCTCGATGCAGATACTTCTGTTTGGGGATAAACTCAAAAAAAAAAAATGAAAGAATTAAATCAACCAATCGGACCGTCTCCCGCGTAGTCAAAAAATTGCCATTTGGAGCCGATAGGCGTGTATAAGTTCAACACGGGAAAGCAAAAAGGCGTCCCATTCAACGGCGGAGGTAGAAGGGTCACGTCGCTCGCTCCTGACACACTGGCCTGGCGACGAAATGAAGCATGCGACCGCTGCTGCTAATGAACTCTCATCCGATGCTTTGTCAAAGGGTACCTTTCCCCTTCCACAAGTCAACTCCACGAACTTTACTTGCCACTACCACAGGCATTCAACTTCTTAGATACGAACCTTTTACTTGTTCTTATTTCCTCACTAAAAAAGCTATAGAATATATTTACAGTCTTTCTTCTTCTTTCGATTCTGAATTTCATTGTTTGCAACCAAACGCAGTAATTCGCCCACATTGTTTTCACATCGCCCACACATCTAAATACGGAATATAACACCATGAAGGTTGATATGAGGTTGTTGTAAGAGTATAAAAGGAGGAAGTAAGAAGTGTAAAGTAAGAAGTTTTTCAAGACACAATGCTTCATCTGTTCATCCTGATTGGTGGTAATGGAATGTAACTAGCTTTGTCTTTGAGGCATTGAATGTAACCAGCCAGTTTTTACCCCATTGGACAGTTTGTGCAAGATCAAAAGAGAGATCAGTCGCCAATCTCAAACCATCGACATAGATGTTTACAAATGATCTGAGTATATTCTTAGGCAAATCATTTATGTAGATCAAAAAGAGGGTTGGTCTAAGGAGTGATCCCTGGGGGATGCCTGTGTTGACCTCTAGTACTCCAAAGGACTGGACATTGATAACTATCTTCATTTACCTACCTGTTAGGAAGGATTTTATGATCCAGAAGAAACTTCAAGTGATTCCATAACTAGAGAGCTTCTGTAGTAAACCTTTGTTCCACACCTTGTTGAAGGCCTTTGAGGTATTTAATGCTATGGTCCTCAAGGTGTGTTTGTCATCAAGAGCTTCACTGATTCTGTGAGTGATGATAATTTGGACATTGTCAGTGGATTGGGCTGACTGAAACTCATATTGATCATTGCTGAAGAGGTTGTTCTTTTCTAAATGTTTGATAAATTTCATATTGATTATGGCCTCAAAAAGCTTACTGATGATACTGAGGAGACTGCTAGGTCTGTACTGGGAAGGGGAAGATTGTACACCCATATTCTTGAAAACCAGCCATTTGATTGGCACCGTCCATCTTGTGATGTAATGTAATATTACTGAGATGTTAGAGGAAGTAAGAAGTGTAAATTATGAAGATATGTGGGATAGATAATGGTTGACTCTAGAATGGAAGAGGTTATAGTGATCATGGAAGCATTTTTTTAGGAGTATTTTAAATTCCAGATTTTTCAAATATATCCATACCTAAAAGAATTACCTCTATCCCAAACCAACATACATAATGATAAAAAAGTTAGAACATTAAAAGAAAATGGTTAAATTCGTACCTTCCTGTTATTTAAAAAAAATTAATTCAGACATTATGTCACTTAACATCCTCCATAATTTCCCTTGACTTTTCAGTTAACCTGATGAATATTTATGAGCTTCTCTTAAATTTAAAAATTTTTAAAAAACAAACAAATTTTTACTTTTGTTTATAAATATTTATTGCAAAATAAAATCCTGACATTTGTCATGATAAAGTCTATCAGAGGATAAAATACATTGACTAAGATAAGACTTTATTCATATTGTCTTTTTACAGATATATTTTTAGTTGTATCTGAAATTTTACACACACCACATTTTATTACTTAAAGGTTATTTTTAGTGGATATTCATATTTGAGTAGATGCTTTGTTTATTTATCAAATAGTATATTTAATAGGTAAATTTGTTCAGTGTAGAAATAATAGCAACTCTTGTTTTGTAAATCTGAATTTGGTGGCATTAATATAGGTGCCTCCAAAAATTTTCTAAAAAAGAGCATACCGTGAAGAAAAAGGCCCCAAACTTCATAAAAACAAAGTTTTATTGTCAAAATGTTTATGTTATTATTAAGAGGAAAGACCAAAGTATTTTTTTTCCTTTCTAGCATGTTTGAAATTTTGGTTAAGAATCTTGTTTTTCTTGTGTCAGTTGATGGGCCAAAGATTAGTATAGGGATTTTTAATGTCTTTTTGGTGTTAAAACACATTGTTTTGGAAATTCTTACAAAAATCAAATAATTGTCGGATTTTAATTAAATTTTCAGTACTTATTTACAAATGAATGAAATTATTTTGGAAATTTTTCTTTTTTAGAAAATCTTGGTAAAAAGTTTTTTTTTTACATCTATTATCCCCAATTACTTAATTTTATGAAATTTGAGAAATTAAAAGTTCAGTCTCTTCATATTTATATTTAAGCAGTACTCAGTGAAGAATTTAAATCATCAATTTGTTTTTGTCAAACAGAAACACCATTTTCCAAAAAACTGCTCTGAATTGTAAAATAAAGATGCAATAAAATTATGACATTATTGCTGTAAAGTATTTAAATATTATGTGAGTTAGCGTTCTCCCCTCCTTTCTATAAATAGTCACTTGGGCAGTGATTAAAGTAGTTTGTATTTGACAAGTAGTTGAGTGAAGCTTGGATTCACTTCAAGTCTCTCTTCAGTTACTTATGATTTATGACAACTCACTCAACTGAATCTAATTCGAATATAGTATGGTGACCTAAAAGCTTAGACATTGATCCTAATTCACTCACTGCAGCAAAAGAATGGTGTCATTGGTGTATAGTTTTTACAAACTATGTCAAGGATTATGAGGAAAAAATTCCTAACAAGCTTAGAGCCCCGATAAGCTGTGTCAACCCTATGGCATTCGAGTTTATTGAAACTTGTTCAGACTACAACACTGCACTAAGTTGAACTCCATTTTTATTAAAACCCCAAATGAGATTTTTGAAAGACATTTACTTGCTACAAGAGAATAGAAACCTAATGAAAATCTGGATGACTTCTTCAGGGGACTTGAAAAACTAAGACAAGATTGCAATTTCATTGACCGTACAGCCAAACAATGTGGGGACAAAGCTATGTGAAATGCTTTTATTAGTGGAATTGTTTCTCCAGAAATATGTCAAAGACTGCTGGAAAATAAAACATTAAATTTACAGACAACTTATGATTCAAGCTTCAGCACTGAATTTATCACAGAAGAATAACAAAGCTTATATTGTCCCCTATTTCCTCTTTGGCTGTTGTAGTTAGTGAGAGTAACCCTTCTGGAAAAGATAATAAAATTAATATCTTAAACCCATCTGAAACAACAATGTTAGCTGAGAATTACAAGCACAGGGTTACTAATAAGAAAGCTTGTTTTTTTGTGTAGCCATGCCATCCCAAAAGAGAATAATTGGCCAGCTTGAGAAGCCATATGTAACATGTGTTCTAAAAAGGGACACTTTACTAAAGTGTGTCAGTCTCAGGTAACAAATGCCACAAGTGCTACTGTGT